CATGAAAATGTATCCTAGTAGGAGTAGCGATAGCAGCTAACATCTACTGAACATTTACCATTTATTACTTGCCAGGCACAATTCTAAAATCTATATTAAATTTTCCCAACAACCCTGACAGGTAGGATTTAATATATTTTTTTAATGTTGTATTTATTTATTTTGAGAGAGAAAGAGAGCATAAGCAGGGGAGAGGCAGAGAGAGGATGGGAGAGAGAGAATCTGAAGCAGGCTCCACGCTGTCAGCATAGAGCCCGACACGGGGCTCGATCCCACGAACCTTGAGACCATGACCTGAGCTAAAATCAAGAGTCAGACACTTAACCAACTGAGCCACCCAGGAGCCCCGGGATTTCATATTTTCTTAATGTCATAGATGGGAAGACTGAGGTGCAGAGAAATTTAAAAACTTGCCCAAAGTCACATGGCTAATGTGCTACAGGTACGGAATTGAAACCAAGGCAGTTTGACTCCAGATTGTAGGCTCTTGTTACTGTTCATGCAAAATGTATGTCATAATCAGCTTCTGTGTGAATAAACATGTGTCAATAACATTTGCTTAATAGCTGCATGGGATTCCATTTTAGGAGCATAATACTCGATATAAACAATCCTCCATCGCTGGGCATTTATGTTGTTTTCCAATTTTTCTGATACAAACATTGCTGTGATAAACCTACACTAAATGTATCTCTCCATGCCTGTATTGTTCTTTCCTTACAATACAGTTGTATGAGTAGAATTTTGGGATCACATTTTTTGAGACTTTTGTACAAATTTTCAAATTGCCCCCAGAAAGATTTTTTTTTAACTTTCATCAGAGTGTAAGTTTCCTTGTGTCACCAATAATGATTATTATTCTTTCCAAATTTTTGTCTCTATGACACAGAGAGAATTGTATTTATTGTTTTATAAAAAGGTTGAACTTCTTTTTTTTTCCAAATAGTTATTACACATTTATATTTCTTCATTAGTGAATTATTCCTTTTTAAAAACATTTTTAAAATATTATTTACCTTCGAGAGAGAGAGAGAGAGACAGAGTGCAAGCAGGGGAGGAACAGAGAGAGAGAGGGAGACACAGAATCCAAAGCAGACTCCAGCCTCTGAGCTGTCAGCACAGAGCCCGAAACGAGGCTCGAACCCATGAACCACGAGATCATGACCTGAGCCGAAGTCAGACGTCCAAACAGGCGCCCCTCCTTTTTTTTTTTTTTTTTCAAAGTATCTTTATTTTAAGAGAGAGACAGTGTGAATGGGGGAAGGGCAGAGAGAGGGAGAGAGAGAATCCCAAGCAGACTCCACACTGTCATCACAGAGCCCGATGTGGGGCTCAAACCATGAACCATGAGACCATGACCTGAGCCAAAACCAAGAGTTGGATGCTCAACCAACTGAGACACCCAGGTACCCCATGAATTGTCTGTTCTTATCCTATTTTATTTTACTTTATTTTTGTAAGGGTGTGTCATTTTTATTAAGAATACACCATACTATTATATGAAGGACGTCAAGTTTTTGTCATATATGATATATATGTTTCCCCAGAAATTTTACATACAGATAAGTTACTTTTTATATGTGAAAGTCTCAAATAATGTAATAAAGAGGTTTTAATTAAAAGAGACTCAGAAAATATATGACCTAATCTTTGCAAAAACCATTGAAAATCTCAGTGATAAATGACAGAAAGTTAAGAGCTTACAAATAGAGAAGTCAGTGTCAATAAGGGATAGTTTTTCAAAGTAGTGTTTGTCAGTCCTTGGGTTTGCCCCAAGAAATGCTTTATTTTCATGTGAGCTAGAGACACTTTTGCTTTTCATCTGTAAAAGTATCTTTATTAAGACATTTTTTATAAATTTATTAATTTTGAGAGAGAGAGAGAGCACACAGGGGAGGGGCAGAGAGAGAGGGAGAGAGAGAGAATCCCAAGCAGACTCTGCACTGTCAGCACAGAGCCCAATGCGGGGCTTGAACCCTGAGATCATGACCTGAGCCAAAACCAAGAGTAGGATGCTTAGCCGACTGAGCCACCCAGATGCCCCTAAGACATTTTTTATTTAATAAATGATTTTGTAGGGAAAAAAATCTCCAGAAATTTGACCTATGTCCCACTGCTGTGCCAAATGATGGATTTTTTAAAGCAGTTTGTAATCACGGAAGATGAAACTGTCAAAGGAGAGAATATTTTGTAACAAAGTCTTTTAATACTTTTCAATGGCCATCAAAGAGAATATAGAATCTCTAGAAATTAATTTAATTAAAAACTTTCCCTCCAGATTTAAAGAAGATTCATTTAAATTGTATCCTAAGTCTAATGCTTCAAAACCGTCTAGGACTTTGTGTGATTTTAAATAGCTTCATTCAAAAAGAAATTTATTGTAAGAAAATTGTGTCAAGTGGAGACAAAGCCTCTTTTTTTTTTTCCACCCCCCTTCTTTTTTGGCTTCATAGAGGAAAATGAGAAATGCTATTTTGGAGACAGGATTCCCAGCAGAAGGGAATCCTTTGGCAGCAAGAATAAACAGCTTTGGCAGAAAAGCACCCTCCAGAGGAAAAAGACGTGGGCCTATTTAAATGAGGGAGTGGTCATGAACCCCAAGGCAAAAAGGATATCCCTCCACAGGGGCTGGGTCAGTATCAGGATGTTTGGGTGGGAGCACTAAGGTTACAAAAGCTCCTTAGAGTGGCTTCATAAGAAACTGATGTTTTGAGATGCAACCCCAGTTGTCTAGGGAGGATCAGTTACTGTTCCAAGGAAGTGATTGTATTTTACTCCGGGCCACACTGTTCCCTTTAGCCTTCATTATGATAACAATAGTAGTTGTTGCAGTAATAGCAGTAATAAGGATAATGATAATAATGATAAATAAAATAATACATAAATCCTACAAACCTGGGTTTTCTTGACCCCTTTCCCTTCATTTTTTCAGAAAATAAAGCACACATCTACAAAAGTGTATTAATGATTAATTTGAAGGGAAGTCTCATTTTTAATTTTAAAATGCTTTGAGGGACACCTGGGTGGCTCTGTCAGTTAAGCACCTGACTTCGGCTCAGGTCATGATCTCACCCAGATTCATGGGTTTGAGCCCCACATCGGGTTTTGCACTGACAGTGCAGAGCCTGCTTGGGATTCTCTCTCCCCTCTCTCTCTGCCCCTCCCTCATGCTCTCTCAAAATAAATTAAAAAAAAAAAAGATGAATGACAAGCAGCCATCCCACCACATGTAATTCTACTTCCATTTATGTGCAGCATTACTGATTTGGTTTGGTCGGATATGATATTTGTGACAGTTAAGGGAAGTGGTCAGAAAACTCAACTACTTGACTCAACCACTGAGCATCCATTTCTCTTTCGTGCCACATTACTGGAAATAGAAACAGTGGGTAAAGTGGTGGCAGAGGTCCCCCCTCGACATTTCTCCAGGAACAGAGTAAATAGAACTGCTCCAGTGCAAACTCTTTTCTCACTTAGTCACTCAACAAACTTTTACTGAATATCTACTGGATGCCAGATTTGTTTTCCGTGCCACTTCTTCATCAGAATCCACTCCTTGCTAAAGGCTTCACTTTCCCCTCCCCTCCCACAGTCCCCGCAGACACACAGGGTCTTGATGCTGACTGAAAGGTTTGGATCTTTCCCTTATGGAAACTCGAGTTCTGCCTCTCCTTCCTTGAAGGCCCTGCCAGGGTGGAGTTTTATTTGTAATAATACTTTTTTATCTGCATAAAATAAATAAACTCCAAGATGGAAAAGTATTTTAGAGAAAATAGAAGAAATTATAAGTATTTCCTCATGTTATTGCATACTTGTAAACATTTTAATGGCTGGGTATTCTATTGTGTACCTCCGTTTCTTAACATTCACCCAAAACTTCATTCACAATTTAGATTTATTTCCTTAGGGAAGAATTACAAAGTTATTTATGCACATTTGTAAGGCCTTAATACAAATGGCCAAACCACTTTCAGAGAGTTTGTAGCAACTTAGAGTCCCATTAAAGGTCTATTTACTGTTCATATCATAGTACCCTTACCTTCATTGAAGAGTAAAAACTTTAAGAATCTTCACTGATTGTTTTTAATCTGCATTTTTTCTTATTTCCAGTGAGATTGGACATTTTCACATGCTTATTAGACATTTTTAGTTTCTCTCTCCTGAGCTTTCTGTATGTGTCCTTTGTCTGTATTTCTATTGGAGTTTTTATAGCCTTCTTATTTACCTGTATGACCTTATTCAGGATGTTAACACTTTGTTTTTATTTTTTTTTTTTTAATTTTTTTTTCAACGTTTATTTATTTTTTGGGACAGAGAGAGACAGAGCATGAACGGGGGAGGGGCAGAGAGAGAGGGAGACACAGAATCGGAAACAGGCTCCAGGCTCTGAGCCATCAGCCAAGAGCCTGACGCGGGGCTCGAACTCACGGACCGCGAGATCGTGACCTGGCTGAAGTCGGACGCTTAACCGGCTGCGCCACCCAGGCGCCCCAACACTTTGTTTTTAATATTTATTGATCACATTTGGGCAAATTCCCCCCAATTGCATTATTTGTAATCATATTATCACTTAGAGCAGATAACTTGTCTAATGAGATCAGCTTTATATCATTTTATGTAGGAGGTGGTTTTCAATGTCTAAGAATTAAGAATGCATACTTTATAGCACAGTAAAAAAAAAATCTATTCTAGAAACTTCTATTAAATAAAGGGAGAATGTATAAGAGTTAAACTGCAAGGGACCTTGGGCCTATCAGTGCTTCTGTATTGATAGACCTATTTGTATTCTTACTGCATTTGATGTGTGGCCCCTTTGGTGTGCTTATTACAAAATTATGAGATTCTGTGCCCAGACTAGCACTTGAGACAGGTAGTGAGCTGCTTTTGAATTTATCAGATTCCAGATAAAATTCTACTCATCCTTCATTCCCATACCTCAGTTTCCCATACTTGTAGAGGCCCTGAATAGCAGCCCTCATAAGCTCTCCTTTTTCTTGCAGACAGTTCTTCCTCACTCCAGGAAGATGAAGAGGTAGAGATGGAGGCTGTGAGCTGGCCGGCCAGTAGTCCAGCCACGAATGGACACCCTGCAACTCCAGTGACTTCTGCTCGTTTCCCCAGCTGGGTGACTTTTGATGACAATGAAGTCAGCTGCCCTTTGCCACCAGTCACCTCTCCCCTGAAGCCAAACCCACCACCTACTGCATCTGTGATCCCAGATGTACCTTATCACTCAGCTGGGTCATTTAAGAAGAGGGAACGTCCCAAGAGCACATTGATGAACTTTTCCAAAGTTCAGAAGCTGGACATTTCCTCCTTAAACCATCCGCCTTCCATAACCGAGGCTCCACCTTGGAGGGCAACCAATCCTTTCCTGAATGAGACTCTGCAGGATGTACAGCCTTCCCCCATCAACCCTTTCATTGCTTTTTTTGAGGAGCAGGAGAGACGCTCCCAAAACAATTCCATTTCCAGTGCCACAGGCAAAAGCCAAAGAGATTCTCTCATTGTCATCTACCAAGATGCCATCAGTTTTGATGACTCAAGCAAAAACCAGTCACACTCTGATGCCGTTGAAAAACTCAAACAACTCCAGATTGATGATCCTGATCACTTAAGCAGTGCGACACTACCAGATGATGACCCGAAAGCCTGGATTGAACTAGATGACCACCCACCTGGTTCAGTGCTGTCCCAGCCCAGGGATGGATGGCCAATGATGCTAAGGATACCTGAGAAGAAAAACATCATGTCGTCTAGGCACTGGGGACCCATCTACATCAAACTGACAGACAGTGGTTACTTGCAGCTGTATTATGAGCAGGGCCTAGAAAAACCATTCCGTGAGTTCAAGCTGGAGATCTGCCATGAAATTTCAGAACCCCGGCTCCAAAACTATGATGAGAATGGCAGGATCCACAGCTTGCGAATAGACCGTGTCACCTACAAGGAGAAGAAGAAATACCAGCCCAAACCTGCTGTGGCCCACACAGCAGAGAGGGAACAAGTGATCAAGCTGGGCACCACCAATTACGATGACTTCCTCAGTTTCATCCGAGCCGTTCAGGACCGGCTCATGAATCTGCCAGTGTTGTCAATGGACTTAAGCACAGTGGGCTTGAACTACCTTGAAGAGGAGATTACTGTGGATGTCAGGGATGAGTTCTCTGGCATTGTGAGCAAGGGAGACAACCAGATTCTCCAGCACCATGTCCTGACACGGATCCACATTCTGAGTTTCCTCTCTGGGCTTGCAGAGTGCCGCTTGGGCCTCAACGATGTCCTTGTCAAAGGGAATGAAATAGTTTCCCGGCAGGACATCATGCCGACCACCACCACAAAGTGGATCAAGCTCCATCAGTGCCATTTTCATGGGTGCGTGGATGAGGATGTATTCAACAACTCACGGGTTATTCTGTTCAACCCTTTGGACGCCTGCCGGTTTGAGCTAATGCGGTTCAGGACAATATTTGCAGAAAAGACCTTGCCTTTCACACTCAGGACAGCAGCAAGCATCAATGGGGCAGAGGTGGAGGTGCAGAGCTGGCTGAGGATGTCAACCGGCTTCTCCTCTAACCGAGACCCTCTCACCCAGGTTCCCTGTGAGAATGTGATGGTTCGTTACCCCGTGCCCAGTGAGTGGGTGAAAAACTTCCGCAGGGAAAGTGTCCTGGGGGAAAAGTCTCTAAAAGCTAAAGTGAACCGGGGGGCAAGTTTTGGTTCAACTAGTGTATCTGGTTCTGAGCCTGTCATGAGAGTAACTCTGGGAACTGCCAAGTACGAGCATGCCTTCAACTCCATTGTGTGGAGGATAAACCGACTGCCTGACAAAAACTCGGGTAGGTACAGGCTTCTCTTCTGTGAAAACTGCCACATGGTTACAGAAGAGTAGGGGTCCAAGTTCCACACTCTGTTCCCCTATGAAGTGCTGGTTTCTGTTGGGTGACAAATGGTAATGGAGGAATGGGACCAGAAAATCAAAAATACTTGTGCGGAGTAAGGAACAAACGTGAATGACCCAGTTCACATGTTCTCACCCCTTTGTTATCACGCTTTTTCCAGAGAATTCTGCATTATTAGCGGGTTGAGCCGCTAAGCATGTTTCCAGGGCAGCTTATGAGTTTGTATTCTTTTCTGACTCATATAAGTATTATATGTGGTGCTGGAAGCTGTTTCCAGATCCTAGCAGGCTTCTGGGTTCTGAAAAGGTATCTTTCTCAGTTAGATTTAAGATTCGAGTCACCATGTGCAAGACCTGTCAGTCATAACATCTCCAACTTGGAGTTGGGATTTGAGGATGCAGGAAGGGGAGAAATGGCCTCTGATGAGACTGAAGATCCAGCCAGGACCAGAAGGTCCAATAGGGCTGAAATTCTGTCAGACAAAAAAACCAAATCAATAAAGGAAGGTATGTTTGAATTACACAAAGAAAGCAAGCTAACCAGCCCTAGCTGGCTTGCTCACGGCTATAAGGGGTGCTTTTGTGCTTGAGTGAGCACAGAAGGCAATGACTTTCCTCAGGGGTCCAGTGAAGTTAACGAAATGACAAAACTAGGGAGTGATCCAACTAGTTCTAATAGCCCTATTTCTTAGAGGAAGTCCGAGTGACTCCAATGACAGGCAGTAAGCTCATGATCCTGTGATCCTTTAAAGCACTTCTCTTCTTGTTTATAATAAATTGTGCCCATCTGTTAACAAATAGATATCCGAGCCGAGCAAAAGGAGTAAAGTTTAGAAAAACTTGACGGAAATGTCCTTCTCTTATGCAGATATTCTTCCATTCTACTATTAAATCCTAGTGGTGTGTTTATAGAGTCTTCATTTCCTGTTCTGAGGGTGGAATGGTCCTGTCATCGAACCCAAAATGTATCGTGATGTGATGGCAAGAGGCAGTATGATCTGGTCACCTCCCCAAGCAGTCCAGGGGGGTGGAACACACCGGGGCATTCTGTGTCAGACACTGGGTGTAGCGGTGCAAAATGAAAAGACAATTGGACCTCTGTGTTTGAGGCTGGGTTGGCCATCCCCCGCCCCCCTGCCATTTCTAAACTGACAGGATTTTTAAAAACAAAGTCTTCCTCTCTGTGCTTGGGTATTCGTTTCTCCCCGGTCAGCACTGTATTCTCCTAGTGATAGCACGGTGATCTCCACCTCAGCCATGGGGCCCGCCCTGAACTGACGGAGGAGAGGAGAAGCCCTGAACTGTCCTTTGGCACAGAAGCCCCTGAGAAGAGAACTGAGGCGGTAGGAAGCAAATTACTGTTTAACCTGCTGGAGACTTGACATCAGAAAAGACAAGGCCTCAGGTTTATGTTTATCGGAATGCTTAGCTCTTCAGTTTGTTACCTATGGATTCAGATAACTTCATTATGGGATTACCGAGTTTTCAAGCTGGAAGGGGCCTTGGGAATAACTTGAGTCAAACCTCTTCATTCTACAGATGAGAAAATTAAGGACCGAGAGTGACATGACTTATCTGAAGTCACAAAGCCACATCCAGGGGTCTTTTCTCAATACCACAGCTGCCTCTTAGTAGAGGATACCAAATAGACACAAACGTGAAGTAACTTCCTCTAAGGGAAGAGAGATTTTCAGTTTTCTCAATGTGTACACCTCTATCTCATTTGCTTCAGAGCTCTTTCTCTCAAATATTTAAAAGTACTGTATGAGGAGTTTTGGTTATAAGCAGCAAAAACAAAATGAAACAAAAGATTGTTGGAGGATAGCTCAGAGCGCTGAAGGAAAGGCTGGAAGGGTTGAATGAGCAGGCATAGAAAGGATGGCTCTTGAAAGCAGAGCTGTGAGATGCCTCCTCAGTCCGCAGCTATTGGCATAAATCATCACAAGCCGTTTTCTGTCAAGAGTCAAGGGGAAGACAGCGCATTTTGACTGACATGACCTCCAAAATGACATGCAGTGCTGGGGAAGATTATCTCCCAAAGCAGAGGGAGGGGAAAAAGATTGTTACCAGAAGAAAGGGGGGAATGGATGCAGGACACGGATAGATATAGGTCTTCAGCAAACACGTTCTTTAATGCTTTCCCAGCAGGTGAGTGTTCAGTAGGCTCAAGGCCAAGTTAATGAAGCTTATATATTACAAATGTATTTCCTGATTACTGGAACCTTTGTGAAAGATTTTTGAAATCCAGGACAGCATAAGGATATTTGGGAATGTTTCTCAGTTAAGCTACCCCCTCATCCCTGCTTTTGTTATTCATGGTTATGCATTTTTAGTAGCAACCCCCCACCCCCACCCCGGCAAAGGGCTTCTAATACTACTCCTGACCAATGGTATATTTCTGGATCTGTTCAGGAAATTGATAACACCCTTTTCTGGCAACTCAAGACACACGGAATCTGAATTAAGTCAGACAGCAGGTTCTTAGCGTTGCTGGTGTTCCCTGGGGCCAGCTCCTCCTGTCCCCATCCAGTGTGCCCTCCATGAAACCACTGAATTGATGATCTATTAGTAATCATCCCTTTCCTGAGCTCCTCTGTCTTGGTCTTCAGAGAGCCTTGGGAAAGTGCCTTTTACAGGTTATTTTCCATAATTCTCACACCTCTGTTTACAGTAAAGGAGGCCTGAACCTCTGCGTGCTTACTTCTACCGGCAGTGGCCCTGTATCCCTAACTTGCAGCAGGCAGGACAGTCAGACCACAGGCAGCATGGGTCTGTAGGTCTGTATCCCTGGCTTTGCTGGCATCTGAGGCTGTAGTCACAGAGGGCTTGTCCCAGTCCCCAAAAGACTAACAAGCTGCCATTGGAGTCCAACGTGGCCTGAAGTGGTGGGCCTAGCCCAGCTGTATGCATGTACAGTCATCCCCTCCCCACGCCCCCTGCCCCCCCACCTGCACTCTTCGGGGACCCTTTTCACCCTGACCCCAAAAGCTTCTCGTAATCCTAGAAGGCACCAGAACAAGTCCTACTGCTTTCCCAGATCATCCACCAGGAAACAAAGCATTCTGTCCTGCACAGGTAGCTTTCTTTGCTGGAACTCCAGTTCTCTAATATTAGACCAAGAGAAAAACAATTTCAATATAATTCACCTTTTATGGAAAGTAGAAATCTAAATTTTAAATTAAATTTTCTTGGTTTCATCAAGGAAGATGACAAAATGTGTGGGTTCACATAGTTCATTACCATAAATCAAACTGTACTAGCTTTCAGAATTGCATATCCCTATCTGTCCCTCAGCCCTATACATCGTGGGCGTCCATTAGTGGACGCCTGGAATCCAGAGGGAATACTACTTTCATAGGGTTTGCTGTGAATACACTTTGGAAGGTGAGAGGAGACATCTGCTTTGTGGAAAGTAATGATTTCTCAGTATTCTGACAATGTTTAAATATGGGTAACTGGGTAAAACTGTTGTTCAAGTTGCCATTGAATTAAAGTAAACTCTGTGTACTTCAGAGTGATCTAAATCTATAGCAATATATTGAGAGGAGTTTAGGACATAATTTGGAATCTGTCAGATCTGAGTTTTATTCCCAGTGCTGCAATTTAGTGGCTGTAAGACCTCAGGCCATTTACTTAAACCTCTCAGAGAAATCTTATTTTCCTCATTTACAGAAGAGGATTATGAATACCTAGCTCATTAAGATAGAAATTAGATAATGCTTTTAAGTGTTTAGCACAGTCGCTGGCCTGTAAGAAATGCTCAGTAACTGAAAGCTGTGTAATCACAATTGTAATTTAAAATAAATCACCTGGGTTCATTTTTAGATAATATAATTTTTACTAACATATGTATCAAATTTAAATTTCTTTCCTAGAAACCAGTGCAAGTTTCTCAATTTCCCAAAGTATTACTCTTTAGAAATAACCCCTGAAATATGTTATTTGTGAAATAGAGCAAAACAAATACTTCACTGCGTGATGTTTTCCTTGGAGAGCGGGTGTGTATGTCCTCACTCTCCGAGATTAAAAAGTCCTGTCCAGACCAATAAAGAAAATTGAAATTGTTTATTTGGGGAAGCTCAGATAACTTAGGACTCTTGCTGTTACATAATAGTCAAAGCCGTGTCACGTTGTTTATCCACGGTGAGTTGTTGTATGGGGGTTCTTACAGCTCACTTCTCTACTCATGTCACCCTGCAAAACCTGGTCTTGAGATGGGAGACCATGAGGGTGGCTGTGACTCAGACAAAGTGGCTAAAGCACTTTGGAGACTGACTGCTTGGGTTCAGTTCTCATTCTGCCACTTTGCAGTTCTGACTGGGCGGCTCGCTTTACCTCCCCGAAGCCTTGGTTGCCTCATCTGTAGACTGGAATGGCTATGACCTCAAGGGATTGTTATGAAGATACGGGGAGAGGGTGTGCACACAGCAGCTGGGACAGTAAAGGATGCTCAACAAACAACGATGCTTCCAAGGTTACAGTCACAGAACTAAGCTCTCTTTTCACTCAGATAGCTAATCGGTCCTCAAGTTTTTCAGCCACGTACAGTAGAACGAACCATAGATTTGTAGAATTAAAGAACAGGAAAGGACTGTGCCTTGCATTGACCTACCTCCATTTCCCCACTTCCCAAATCAGGACTTGAAGCTGGAGAGAACAAGGATGTGGGTGCAAGATTTCTGACACTTAGCAGGAGAGCTAGAAGTCATACTCGGTGTCCTGTTGGCCTGTGTTCTACCCAGTATATACCATGTGCTTCCTTAATGCAAAGCTGTTGTTTATAAGGGCTTCATCATTTACGTGTGCCATTTACCCACAGAGACATTCCAAAAGCATCTTTGTAAAAATATGAGATGATTAAGATGATTAAGAAAATTCATCTTCTGGGTGCCTAGGTGGTTCAGTTAGTTAAGTCTACAACTTTGGCTCAGGTCATGATCTCACGGTTTGTGGGTTCGAGCTTCGCGTTGGGCTCTGTGCTGACATCTCAGAGCCTGGAGCCTGCTTTGGATTCTATGTCTACCTCTCTCTCTTCCCCTGCCTTGCTCGCACTCTGTCTCTCTGTCTCTCTCCCTGTCTCTCAAAAATAAACATTAAATTTTTTTTAATTAAAAAAAGAAAATCCATCTTTCAAAGGGAATTAATTACTTTGCTCCACATGGCTGTCATTGATGCTCTATTAGGTGCTAAGTGCTGATCCCTTTTATTCCTTCCTGCTAATTTACAGCCTCTATTACTTATTATTTGTGTTGTGTTCCCATTATCACCCTGACCTGAGTGGGTTTTTCAGGCTGTGGGTTTTATTGCTAGGATACAAGGCTACTGTAATCAGAAGGGTCTGAGGCACAGGCAGTGTGATTTCTGTTGTAAGTCCTCCACTCAGCATTGGACCCTCGGAAAGACTGCCTGGTGCTGAGCCTCCTTTGCTATTGAGTGGCTCTTTTGGCCTCTTCTTCCATGTCATCCCCAAAGAACCTAATGTCTAAATTCTTTTCCTTTCATAGCTTCTGGTCACCCACACTGTTTCTTCTGCCACCTTGAACTTGGCTCTGACCGGGAAGTGCCTTCCAGATTTGCCAGTCACGTGAATGTTGAGTTCAGCATGCCCACAACTTCTGCCTCTAAAGCTGCCGTAAGATCCATCTCTGTGGAAGACAAGACTGATGTCAGGAAGTGGGTCAATTATTCTGCACACTACAGCTACAAGGTAGCCTCGGGAGGCGTCTGGCTAATGCTTCCAGGTCCATTTGTTCACCCCCTTCCCCTCCCCTGTCTTGTTCCCTTTAGCAGTGCCTGCCTTGAATGCAGGATGTTCTCTTACCGCCTTAGAGAGAGGTACACCATGCATAGCTGTGGATGAGTCTGCTCTGATTTGAATGAATAGTCTCACTGGTGGGCAAGAGAAAGGTTGGGAAAAAATAAAGAGGTGAATGAAAGAGGAGAGTATAATGTTTTTCAGTCATCATGAACAACAACAAAAGAGTCATGGGGTAAAGGAATTAGTATTACTCATTCATAATATATGTTGCAGAAGTTGTGAACTTGAAAGTGGAGGGGAGTTCAGGAAAGCGCTAACCCAAAGCATGTATTTCATTCAGCTTCAGAGTTGGTGAAGTAGATCTGAGTAAAGTCAGGACACCTATGACCTGGTCACTGGGCTATACCAGGACAAAATTCAAAAGCCAAGCAAGCTTCTGTAATAGTAACAGGATCAGGGCTGTGGAAGGAGGAAACTAAGTTGGAGTGTTCTGATATAAATAGTGATTCTATCTTCAGGCATTGGAAATTCAATAGCAGATTAAATGCCAAAGATAGAAAATGGGGGTTATTGAAGAATTATTTTGCAAACGGTTTAATAATTTTTTTATTCATAATAATATCCTTAGTTTTTCAAGGTTATTTATTGTTCTTCAATGTTTCCTTAGTTGTGTGATCTAAAACCTTAAACTACCAAAAAGAACACATACTCCATCTTGTGGCCAGGGAAAATATAGCACTTTCATCAAGCATGACCCTCCTCTGTTTTTTCTTTAATTGTTGTTCCCTTCATCATAAATATCCAAAGTGGTGAAGAGAAGAGTAGTTTTAATTATGAAACTCTCTAGCTTGATAGATTTCCTTTCTGACTTGTCAAAGGCTTCAGCGTGTGTCACTTTCAAGGCAAGATGAATTTATTAATCCCTTCATAGTTGTAGCTGCCGTATTTTGCAGGAGACACAGGAAGAACTATAAACACTAAAATACTTAACTTTGGAAAGAGATAAAGTAACGGAGAGTATAGACAGCCAGATGGAAAGGAATTCAGTCATTTTGATAAACCTTTGTGCTCTCCTGCTCTATACCTACATTATTGGAGTACAATAGTCAACAAGGGCATACCCCTGTCCTATGGAGCCTGTGGTTGGGGGGGAGCCAGGCAGGTGTACCAGGTACAGTGGAGATATGCCCAGGAAGAATGCCTCACTCTACCTAATGACTTGGGAACATGACTCAAGGTGACCTTTGAACCACTATGCAAGACAAAGAATAAGAATTTTCCAGGTGGACTGTGAAGAAGGGGGATTCCAGAGCAAGCAAAGAACATGTGCAAAGAGATAATCCTAATATACTCAGGGCCAGTATCTTCAGTGTGGCTAAAGCCAAAAACATTAACAAAATTACAGGGAATCTCAACGAGCGTGGTGAGGTATTCTCTTTGAGATTATTTATTATTGGGATGTTTTTCTCCTCTTTCTGATATTTCTCTCCAACTTCTATTCTTGGCAGGTGGAAATTGAGCAAAAAAAGAGTTTGAAGCCAGACTTTGAAGGAGATGAAATGGAAAATCCCAAGGAGTGTGGGGTCCAGTGACAAAGCCCTACTGCAGGGGGCATGACCCAAGTTCTCATGAATAGCTGAAGTTCAAGTCAGTACCTACCATGACTACTCCATGTTGGGAACAGTATTTTGGACCTTCCTTTTGTAGTTACCTGTATTTTAACAGGGAACCTTGAGGTGGTTGCTTTGGAGAGACCCTGATATGCCTGATGATGCACCTAGTTCACCTGACTTTTGGGGCTTATTGTCTAATTAAGCCTCCTTTTCTTCACTCTGCTTATCTCACAGCTGTTGGGTGTGGTTTGTTGTCACTGTTGGAGTCAGGAAGAGAACCTTCCACACGAGTGTTGGCCCCATTTCCTTCTGATGTTCATCTGTCACTTACATGATTTTCTAGAAAACACAGTCTTGAGAAAGTTCATTCAGAATCCACCTCTGTCACTCCCTCTAGAAAAAGGTTCAGAAGAGGTGAAGTACAAAACAAATTTCCTCTTTGGGTCTACTAGGCTCTTTGTACATGTCTCCATTCTTTAAATGTTAACACTATGCAACAGAAGTTTTCAAGACGTTTCCCTCCCAGTTCTGGATGGTTTTGATTAAAACACTTTTTCCATCTCTCTGTTCCCAGGGTTCACCACCCTGAGTCACAATAAACAATGGAAAAAAGGCACAATAGGATACTTTTTTATTCTGTGATTAGCCCCACATTCTGCAAAGGGTGGCTATTGAAGGGAAAGCAAAACTGAGCTGATTTTTCTTCATTCTGGGGAAAAGGGCCATTAATTGTAACATAATATTCAATTCAGGAGACAACTTCAATCTCAGAGAATTCCCAAATTCACACTGAAAAATACAGGCCATTTCTGTTTCTGAAACAAATGGATGGAGATATATATATACATATATATATGTGTATATATATATATATGTATGTATATATACACATATATATATATACACACACCTATATATATATACATATATATGTGTGTATATGTATGTATGTATGTATACCTCAGGCATTTGTCAGGGCATTTGGGAGCTCTTTTTATACCTCAAGCCTATGGACAGTTGCATGTCTCTTTAATTCAGACTTTACAGGAAATATAAGTGGAAAAGATAATTTTAAAAGCTGTTTTAAAGCTAAGCTTTTAGTTTTAAAAATTTAAAAGCTGTTTTAAACCAAGCTTTTAGTATATGAGCTCTCCCCCCAAATTCAGAGTTTGATAATTACAATATTGTAACAGATCTAAAAGGCGGAAGACTCTAGGGTAGAAATGGGGGAAAGGCCTATTTTTCTAATGTTGGGAGCATTAAATCTGATTCCAAGAGTCTGGGACACTCGATCTTCTTTCCCTTCATATGTTCCTGCTTATATTCTGTACTTCTACTTCTTATTTCTATCTTGTTGTCTCCTTACCATACAAGGAACTATATTGGCCATCCCGAAGGGAATACCTGCTCAGCAGCTTAAAGGCCGGTTCTATCTGCCTTCTTCTCCTGTGAAGAATAAAGTAAGGGGACAGAAAGCATACCTGTAAGATTTGTCAGATGACACAGAGAAATAAATGATATATCCAGTCTCAACTGGCAGATTTGGGATTAATTTATCCAGTGAATTTTCACTGAATTGTAACTACGTACTGACACTAGAACATAGACATCATTACCATTTTTTTTGAAATACCTGAACATAAGACTGAAACTAAAAGGATAAAATTCAGTAGGCATTAACGAGACACTATATTCTGAGTTGCTTAAACACTATATTCTGAGTTGCTTAAATACAACCTTCTAAATACAGAGTGGTGTTACCTACGTGTGTGTTGACAGGAAGGTTGTTGAAAAATCATGGTTTCACAATGGTTCCTGTAGAAATGTTTTCTTAGGGAAACAGGACTTCACTTTTGAATTAGGAGTGTATGGTGACTATCACAAAGTTAATGCATTCAACCTGTGGTAACAGAAGCCCAGGGAGCCCTGCATGCTGCACTGGTCAGTCCACATTTGGATGGAGGGTTGGATTCAATTGTGGATGCTATGTTTTGAGAGAGACATTAATCAGTTGTGTCCAGAGGCAGGTGACCAGGGTTGTGAAGGGTCTAATTATATAAGGGACAGGGGAATAGAATAGGAGAGAATAAAATAATATAGCTGTCCTGATATTTCCGTTGAGTTTTAAAAAGGGAGAAGAATAAGACTTACCTGTGTAACTTCAAAGGGCAAAAATAGGAACAAAGAGGAACTTTATAGATAACAGATGTTTGCTTCAACATAAGAAAGAATTTTCTAATAGGTTCTAAATGTGGTGGTTCTAAAGGGGAAAAGACTTGTGTAGTAATATTTCCTACTGCTGCAAATGCCCAAACAAAGGTTAAAATAACCATCCATCCCAGATGCTGTGAAAGGGGCACTGGATTTGGGCTAGATGGCTCCCAAAATCCCTTTTGCATATAGGCTAATCTCAGTAGTAACTCTCTAACTCTAGTTGTTTTCTCCTTGATAAGTGGTTTTGTAAACTTTGTGAAATACATTGGGATTTCCTGAAGGTCTCTGTCAAGTGAGGCAGAGCCCTTCCCCTGTTGTACGAAAGGCACATGAGATTCCTCACAGAAACATCAAGATGCGCTAAAGAACTGGCAAGGTGAAGGTCATTCTGACACCTTCCTTACCAAATGTTAGCACCTGCGCACCCTGTCAAGATCTCTGCCTCACCTGCCAGCATCACATGTGTGCTGCCTGTTGGACGATTTCTCCCCATCTTAGTTAATTCTCATTGCCTTTGTGCTTTTACGTGGATTTTTTTTTCTTTCAACCAAGGGTTAGGAAAATCCTTTCCATGCTATCTGCATTCAGCAAGCAAATTATTATTAATAATAATTTTTTTTAAAAAACCTACCACCTTGATTTCATCAAATTTGCTTTCCCACTACTGGTTTCGGGAAACTGATTATGGGTAGCATTTGGGACTTTGAGGGATATAATACTATCTATTTTTAGGCCTAATGTTATGTGAATAGCCTACATAGAAAACACAGGCAAATTACCTTTTTGGTGTGCAGATTCTTTTACTACCCTGGACCTGGATTGTGTGTATGTGTGTGGTCACAAGTAGTCCTTGTCTATGTTATCAATAATGTGAAGATATTAAAAGTAAATTCACTTTACCAATACATAGTATTACTATTAGAACATAAATTAGATGTCACATGATATTAAGAGCTATGCTTTCTTTTGAGTCTCATGGCTTGCTTTGTGACTTTATAGTAAAAGAGGATAAGAAATGTACTTGTCGTGATATGTCAAACAAGAGAAGCTAAGGTATTTTGTGGTGGGCCATTAAACCCCCTTTGCCACTCTTGTAAACATAATACTAGTTATTTTTTCTCAAAATTTTACATTTCACTTAAATATCATCTGGACATTTTTTTTTTTTTTCATTTGGTTCTTTCCCCGCTCTCAGCATTCCTGCATTATTGGCAGGACTCATAACCCTTGAGAACATTTTTTTTAATGCAATATATTTCTTATTTGAAATGGGAGCAATTTCTATTCAAATCCAGTGGGTGAGAGCAAGAGTTTATTTCCTTAGAAATTAAAGTCCCCAAGAAATATGATCCATGATGGCAAGGAATATATCTTATTCTTTATGTTCAGTACCTAGGAGAAAGCTTGGGAAAGGTTTCAGCCACCTTAAATCCTTGCTGATAGGACAAACATATATTAGTGAAATAAAAGGAAATTATTAGGGGGTGCCTGGCTGGCTCAGTTGGTAGAGCATGCACCTTCTTTTTTTTAGATTTATTTTATTGATTTTGAGAGAGACAGTGTGCAAGCAGGGGAGGAGTAGAGACAGAGGTAGAGAAAGAATACCAAGCAGGTTCTGCTCTGCCAGCACAGTGCCCAACAGAGGGCTCGATCTCACGAACCGTGACATCATGACCAGAGCTGAAATCGAGAGTTGAACGCTTAACCAACTGAGCCACTCAGGCGCCTGGAGCCTGCAACTCTTGATCTCAGGGACATGAGTTCAAGCCCCATGTTAGGTGTAGAGATTACTTTTAAAAGAAAGAAAAAAGAAATTATTAGGTATTTAATAAATGTTTGTTAAACGCACACTCACCTGAAACTCTAAGAAACTTAGCCCTTACTTATCATCAAATACTTCTATTAAAATAAGCAAGCAAGCTTTATTTCCTGAAAGACTTAATTTTTTTTTTATTCCTGCTTCCACTGTCAACTAATGACTGTCAGCACATAGCCTTCACGTGCAGCTGAATTTAAACTACAGTTTTTCTCACTCATATTGAAAAACATTTTTGTGCCCAAAATACAGTAGCACAGATGCTATCCATGAGTCAAGATTATTGATTCAGTTTTGTTCCTTCAAGTCAGACATGTCTTGCCCATTTTGAATAGTCAGCAGGAGGAGAAAGCTTGGCCAATCTTGGTGTGCTATGTCTTTGGTTTCCCCACCATTAACTACTGACTGGTGTTACTGTGTTTTGTCACCATAGGCAGATGGAGGACTGAGATGGTAAGGATGAAACTCGTGAAATTAAATCATGATTTCAGAGCTGCTTTCAATCTCTTTATGAGGTTAGTTGTGGGAAAGCACAGAATGATCTGAAATTGTTTAAAAGCCTTGGGAATATTAAATTAATTTCAGTAGGAAGCATTGCCACCTAGCCTACTTTTAGAATTCTCCCACTTGGGACTGGTAACTTTAATGGTTCTCCAGATGATGATCGTAAGTGAATTCTAGCATATCTAGAGTTTTAGGTCATGTTAAGAATGCCATTTAACAGAAAATTCAAACAAAACTGACCAAAAATGTCCACACACACAAAAAAAATCACCTAGTAAACAAATCATCTTTAACAACTTATACCAAGTCCCATTCAAACCATGACTGCTCTTCATATAAAAATAGTCATCTCATTCTCCCCAAGTTTTCAAGATGTTTTCTAAACATTGCCGATGTCTGCCAATTTCCTACAAGTCACCATTTCTCCATCATTTCTTAATTGTGC